TTTCTATTAAACGCCAACATATGATTTACCGGTGCAATCTGGAAACTTTCCCTCGGTAATAAAAGTTAAACGCGTGTTATTTCGTGCCGTAGCGGGCCTGCGCGGTGGCAAACACATCCTCCGGTGAACTGATCAGCAGGCGCAGCTCCGGTGCGATCTGCTGCCGCACAGCCGGAGCGAACCAGCTGCTCACAGCATCATCCGGAACACTCACCTGTTCTTAGAACAAGCGATGAAGAAGAGCTGCTCGGCTTGCCTTCATCTTCGTCGGCTGTTCTTATCAACACACTGGGATTAAGCGGCGGCTCTCAGACCCCTCCTTCGGCACACAGTGACATCAGAGCGGATTATACGGCAGTAAATACCCTCCCCGCCCCCAAACCATCCCGCAACGCATCGCACCATCTGTCCTGTGCTTTAGAGTCAGTTACACTTCCTTTGCACATACACAGGTTTTTATTAATATGTGCAGAGGTTATCAGAATTTAGTCTTCCCACCGTTCATCCACTAAAAAAATAATACATTTATATGTATTTATAATTTTTGTATAATGATTTAAATGAACCTCAAAAGGCATTTTATACATTAAAAATGCTTCAAAAATTATATATATCATGTCACATACATTTCATGCTCCCAGTCATGTATGCCATTCTAGGAAAGCCTATAAATAATTCCTAAATGTCAGAAAGTAGCTCCATTGAGACCATTTGGGAACATGCAAATCAATAAATGTTTGATAGAGTTTAAGAATTCACTCATCCTTTCAGTACTTCAGCTAGAATGCAAATATGTTGTCCTATTTAGGATATGAAGTATGCAGCGGGTGGCCCGATTAAACAAAACTGGATAAAAATGTTACCATTTTTACACATACAGGCCACTCTCAAACCTCCATGAAGTTGTTCTATGTCCCGCAAAATATATAAATGGATAATAAATAAATGCATAAACAAACAATAATAATAAATATTTGGTTTTTGTATTTATTCCGTATTTATTTTCTGTCACACAAAATGGCACGTTCTTGGTTTTGTTTAGTATATTTTATATTTAAAAAAAAAAATAGCTTACTCAGAAATTGTTCTTCAAATATAGCTGCTTTTTTTTAGCCCCTACTAGTTTCACATGAGGATTCTGGTTTGCATGTGGAACACAGTTTTCTTGATCATATATTTACCTTATTTGACCACATGTTCAATTCGCACTGTAAAACAGCTGCCTGTTAGACGTAAGAGGTCTTGTCACGCAAAAGAGTGTTTACGAGTGTTATGTTTGCTTAAGCATTTGCTTAAGTAATGTATCAACAATGTGTATGCAAAGGGAGGAATACAAAACCGGACCTAATCTGAAACAAATGTCAATTCTGAAATCAGCGATTGCTTACTCAGTTCAGTTCCCGAGACTCCCCTGGGGAACTTCTTCATATGGTCAAGAATTGTGCCAGCATTCAATGTTAATATCATCTTACCAAACTGGACCACATTGTGTGACTTCAGCCTCTAATTATTTGTTATATGGTTTGGCACATAACAACAAACAGTGTGACTTCATCCCCTAATTGTTTAAGAGTGTGTGCATGAAGAACATTGTTTCAAATCCAGTTCAACACACTTTATTTTGAAAAAAAAAATCTGTAAACTGCACAGAATTTAATGGGGCAGTCGTGGCCTAATGGTTAGAGAGTCGGACTTGTAACCCAAAGGTCTCAGGTTTGAGTCTCGGTACCGGTGGGGAGAGCGAATGAACAGCGCTCTCTTCCACCTTATACCACGACTGAGGTGAGAGACCCTTGAGCAAGGAACCGAACCCCCAACTGCTCCCCCAAAAGATTAGGCTTAGAATATATTAACATCACACTCACACAATAACTACTTGCCATTCAATAAAAAAATTTAAAATCCAATAATTTAGTGATACCACAACATAAAAAAAATACATTTGATAAATAACCAATATAATAAACCCCATATTTTGTCAAATGTCAATCATGTAATTTTTCCAATAAATTGAATAAATTCAATTATATATGAATATAATTAACTGTTTGGCATACAACATTTTTATTGTGGTGAAATGTGAAAGTCTGTTATCAGGCATGTTTTTCGAAGTGAAACATGATGCACTGTTGAAGGCATGTGTGACACAAATCACTCCAGATCTTTCCCATATTAATCTTTTTCCCTCTTACATAATATGCTTCTGCCTTGTTGAAAAAAAAGGGAGCCAAAAATGTGTTATATTATAACACATTATATATAGTTATATGAAACACAGGCTTTCATGTCGGTTCCAAAACTCAAGTCTTGCACTGTAAACTGTGATCACTGATTTCCTGTACAATTTGTCAATGAGGTTTAAATGAGATTTTCTTTTAAATTGTGTTAAATAACCAAATTCCTGTTTAAGAACTACACTACCCATAATCCTGAGGAGTGATCCACCAATCAGAGAGGGCGGTGTTACCATGGAAACTGAAATCACTTTTAAAAGATCTCCACAGACCTCCCACAGAAGCACTGGAAATAACATAATCAAGTCAATAGTTGATGCCCGCATTTATTTGAGATATATATTTAACATTTTTAATAAGCAAAAGATAGTCAATAGCTTTATAGTGTAATGCTTTTGTTGATTGGATTATATGCAATGCTTCATGGGTTTTAGTTCATAAAATATTAAGTAACCCTGAATACCATTGTTTTAGTCGAGATTTTTATGCTTTTTGATTTAAATAAATATTTGCAATGTTGTGATTCATTTCAGAGGATTTAAACTCTTAATTAAATGTACATTCAGTAGTTCTTCCGTTAGCGTTAGCATCGTTGCTCTTTAAAGAGATAGTTCACCCAAAAATGAAAATTACCCCATGATTTACTCACCTTCAAACCATCCTAGGTGTATATGACTTTCTTCTTTCAGACGAATGTAATCTGAGTTATATTAAAAAATGTCCTGGCTCTTCCAAGCTTTATTATGGTGTTGAATATGTGTTAATATTCCATAGTCAAACACAAGTCCAGTAGTGCATCCACCCATCATAAAAAGTGCTCCAGACGGCTCCGAGGGGTTAATAAAGGCCTTCTAAAGCAAATCGGTGTGTTTGTTAGAAAATATCCACATTAAAAACTTTATAAACTGTCATCTCTATCTTCCGCTAACTGTCATACGCGTGTTCACGAGAGAGTGGCGCTCCAGCGGATGACGTAGGACAAAGGTGTAGCGTAAGCTCCGGTGGGAAGTGATGAATGCGGAACACCAGTCACGAATCAGAAGTACAAAACGAGGATTTGTAAAGAAAAATATAGGAGGATTTTAATATAAGCCACGAGGAGACTGGTTTTGCACGAGAGAGTGGCGCTCCAGCGGATGACGTAGGACAAAGGTGTAGCGTAAGCTCCGGTGAGAAGTGATGAATGCGGAACACCAGTCACAAATCAGAAGTACAAAACGAGGATTTGTAAAGAAAAATATAGGAGGATTTTAATATAAGCCACGAGGAGACTGGTTTTCCTTCGCTGTAAACAAAACTTGGTTCTCGCGAGACTAGCATATTCTCACCAGAGCTTACGCTACGCCTACATCCAACGTCATCCACTGGCTCATGAACACGCGTATGACAGTCAGCGGAAGCTGGAGATTATGGTTTATAAAGTTTTAAATATAATTTTAATAGTTTTCACTTCAGGATGCCTCTATTAACCCCCCGGAGCCGAGTGGAGCACTTTTTATGATGGATGGGTGCACTTTATTGGACTATTGAATATCAACAGCCATTCACTGCCATTATAAAGCTTGGAAGAGGCAGGAAATTTTTTTATATAGCTCCGATTGTATTCGTCTGAAAGAAGAAAGTCATATCATATAAAACTAATGGCTTGAGGGTGAGTAAATCATGGGGTAATTTAAAATTTTGGGTGAATTATCCCTTTAATTTTTCTGTTTTTCTTTCTTTTCTTTTCTGTGTTATTTCATCATTACTGTGTAATTCTATGAATGTCTGCACTATCATGTATGTTTGCACTATGTGTGTACTTTCTTCTGCACTGGAAGCTCCTGTCGCCAAGTCAAATTCCTTGTGTGTGTTGGTTATAAAGCTCCTTCTGATTCTGATTCTGATAACGCAAAGGTGTTTGACGCTGCCCTGTCTTTTACCACGTTTTATGTAAAAGTGTTATGTGAGTTTTATGTGCATTACTCTGATACTTGTGAGTTTTAAAGCAGTCGACTCTACACAATAATTAATTCCCTTGACCAACAAAAAAAAGAAAAAGAAACTTGGCATCAATTAGAGTTCGATTCATGAATCGATTCCTCACTGCTTTTAAAGAGTCACAAAAACACATTTTTTTATTAATGTGAAAACATTTTTATATGTAGAAATATGGAGAAAAAGAATGGTACAAATACTACTGGAAATAAGGCTGTCGAAAAAGTGAATGGCTAGATATATTGTAATATCACTTTATCACTTCTGTCAAAGCTATAGATGTCTCATAGGCACTTAAGTAAAATGCAGATTTGCTCATATCATCGACAAATGTTTCATAACTATAACTAGAACACACAGTACTGGATTCTTGCCCGAATAAAACGAGAAGCAAGAGAGATTTTGGTGCTCCAGATGGCACAGTACCATAGTGGAAGTACTTTACAACCCACTGTCTGATTTCAAGATGTTACACAAATTTAAAGCGAGAAAACAAAGATCTGATCTAAATATCCAGCTGATGAAGCTGTTATTGATGCTATGCATTAGTGAAAGTCTGAGGTAAGGGAAGGTATAACCTCTGAATCTGGTCAACATTATTGAAACCCTCTCCTAATTCCCTCCCTTTTTCTTCTCCAGCAGCCAGACAGAAGGATCACATCTGAGCTTCAGTTATATGCTGCCAGCTTGAAAGAAGGACAAGATGAGAGAATGAAGTCTAGATCAGTTCTAGTGCTTAACCAGGTGTAATTTGATTTATTGTTTGCAGGACAAAACATAGGAGGGAAGATGCTTCTTTTCTACTTTCTGAGCTTGTTTGGTGAGAACTCATTGCAGTTAAGTTGTCTGTGTAGATCATTGTGCATGCATAAGTGTGTGTTCAATGCTCTTTTCTCTCAGTGACAGCTAAAGCAGAGCTTTTGTCAGGCTCCTGCAGCTTTCAGGACAGCATATGTGACTATATGTTCGACTTCCACCCGGCCTTTCTTAGCTGGACCCTCAAATCTTCCGGTGAGTTTCAGCAGCATGTCAATGAATGCATTGCTTTGGGAATCATTTGATGCCAAGGTCACCATATGAATGGATGATATCTCAATGTTTGTGTCTTTTTATGGGTCAGTGGCCAGATCTATTAATTTATTAGAAAAATATATAAGAATGCAATTTATACATACAGTGTCTTTAATACACATCTTCTGTGATGAACATGTTTTTGATTTCTGAAATAAATTTTACTTCAGTATTATTTTTGGGTAGCATATAGTCCTGATATTATAATAAAGAAAAAAAAATCATTAGAAGAATGAAATTCTTGAAAGCAAAATGGTACTGAGTAGTTTCGTTTATTTTTTTTAAATAATAATTTTTTATGTATATATATTTTTTATTTCTCAGGAAATAAATTCTATAGGTAGGCAGTGAAGCAGTTTATATAAATTTTTTTTATAAACATTTGAAAAACGTTTGCCTCCAAATTCAAAGTCATGTGGTGTGACCAACAAAAAGTCATGTGGTGTGACCAACAAAAAGTCATGTGGTGCAACCAATGTGCAGAAACATGCAGAATAATTTTGCCTTGTTATGACTAGACAAGGTTAGTTCAGACTGTAAGATGCCATGTGCTTTTACTTTAAAAGTATTTTAAGTATTTTTAAAAAAAAAAAAAAAAAAAAGATCAAGATCAAGTATGGATGAGTATGTATTCAAGGTGTAAGAAAAATATATTACGATTTGATGGTTGCGCCATATGATATTTTTAACGTGATTAAAGGTAAAGATATGATAAAGACATAAAGCTTTTATAAAGAATATCTCTTTGGATTTGAGACTTTAGTCTTTGCAACTTTAGGGATCTTATCTATTCACGAACAGCTTGTAACACTCCAAAGAGAAAGGAAAACTTGAAATCGCATCATATGACCCCTTTAAAGGGTTTTGGATTAAATAAAAAACACTTAAAAACATCATGAATACATTGCATTCCTAAGCACTTGCCACGTTTTAAGCAATATATTTATTTATTTATTTTAAGAGTTTTCATTTGAATTTCCATCTTATTCGTCAGTTGTCATATATAGGCTTTTTACATTATGCTATGGGATGCATTAAAGGAATCGTTCATTATTTCCCATGTCTCATGTCTTAATCTCATGTCCTTCCAAACATGTATGCTGTTATTTTTATTTTATTTTATTCTATTTTATTTTATGGAATGGGGCTGAAAAGGAGAAATTTTGAAGAATCTTTGTGCATTTTCCATATGTTCATAGTGACTCATGTACTATACTGCAAATAAAAATTGTTGGACAGGTTTGGAATGACTTGAGAGTGAGTAAGTGATGACAGAATTTTATTTTTGGAGTGAACTGTGTCCCTTTAAGGCCACTTTTATGCTTCCATTAAGCAATGTTTCACACGGGTTATTCTGAACAGAGGTTTGCACCATTTTTTTTTACCAATGTAATGAAGCCCTGCAGAATATGAAGTAGAGTATGAACAGTCCAAACATGGATTTCAGGGTACACACAAACACTTGCCATGAATGTTGTTTTCGTTCTGCTTCACTCAGGACTCTTCATCACAGTCAAAGAGCACGTCCAGGAGGACCAGGGAAAGGGAAAGGCAGTTCTTTTCGGTCCAGATGTGGAGCAACGGGACTGGAGCTGTTTCAGGATGGTCTATCAGGTCACAGGCAGCGCCTCCCTGCAGGTGCAGAAGCGCACAGATGTAGAGAGTTTCGATGAGGTGCTCTGGATGACCCAAAGCCCATTTGATCGCCAGCTTATCGCCAGCATTGACCTTCAGAACTCCACCGAAACTTTAAAGGTAAGAACTATTAATAGAGTCTGGATATGCTGATGTATGGGATGTTATCATGTGACTCCAATGACAAATTTGTTTTACATCTGTAGATCGTCATTGAAGGCAAACTAGAAGAAGAAGGCAGCAGTGTGTCCATCTTTGAGATCAAGATCTCTGATAAATACTGTATAGGTTAGTGCTCTGATAACTTGGGCCAGTAAACAGCATGTTAGCAAACACCCAGAACAGCTCAGCAGCCTTTCACTTAGTTTGTTTCTTTGTAACACTAATAATGTCATGCCAAAATCAGGGCCAGCCACATGAAAAGAACTGTTAACCACAGAAAACGTGTTCTGATGGCTATTCCTAGGAACCAGCCTGTGTGCAGATTCCTGAGGCACCAGAAAATCTGTTAAATGAACCCACATTTCTGTTGTTCAGTTTTTGTTCGACAGAATTGTGCCCAAATGCTATTGGCCTTAAAAGGCTTGCAGAAATAGAGAGTTTCAAAACCAGTTATTTACATTTTCATGCAAAGTAATCACTCTTTTTCTGATCATGTGACGCCAAAGAGTGTGACTTTGAAGAAGATCACCTGTGTGGCTACACTAACGAGTGGAACAGATATATGAACTGGCGTGTGGGAAGATCAGATGATTCTGCACTGAACGATGGAACAGGTTAGTCTGACAGCATCTGCTTTGTGATATAATCCAATTTGATATGAAAAAAGATTTAGCATAAAATACCATACAACACAAAAAATATTATACAGAAAACTTATATTGTATAATCTTATAAGACATGAAAAATGTTCTGTAATACTTTTGTTATAATCTTGTACAATACAAAAAAATTATACTGTATATATATATATATATATATATATATATATATAAATACATAATGTAA